GAGAAAACAGCTGCGGAACCAGAGTCATTAGCATCTATACAATGTGTATGGGCTTAATTTCTGTTTGGTGGCATCCAACCAGTCCCAGTCCCCAAGCTGACAAGCTTTCAGGACAGTAGACGTGTGGACTTAAAGACAGTATCTCCTTCAAGATCTCCTGGACTTGGTGAAACCAGCAGTAGTTACAATGGTTCTTATACACGATGCATTAGCACAGAAAGTCTGGAAGTCCTTCAAAATTCTCTTAAGAGAGGGATGAGCCTGAGAATTGGCGTTTGTAGCAAAATGCAAGGCTCCCCCTCCTGCTGATGAAGGGTGCTGAATGACCCCATGCTCACGAACAGCAAATAGGCTGGCGAGAGCTGACAAGTGAGAAAGTCAGAAGGGGAAAATACAAACTGGAAGGGTCACTTGAGATGAGGGGAAGAAAAAAAAAAACACTTGTCAGCCAGCGTAGCAGAGAAAAAAGTCCTACACAGATGGTCGTAATAATTCTTTTAATGTACAATTGACATAAAATCATGCAGTGTTATACTCTATCAGGGCTTGGCTAGAAATTTCAGCTGTGAGCTCAGGAGGTCTGGAAAATGTTCTAGGATTCTTGAGGTCAATCATTTATGAATTAAGTTACTGATTTCCTTTTACATTTTTAAAGCCAATTTCCTAAGTTCTCTGCGTATGTTAAGATTCCTCCCAGAGTGAAAGCTCTGCACATAGACAGCTTCATTAAGTCATTAAATATTAAATGAACTAAATTAAGCTTGAAAAATTACCTCAGGCTATTTTTCCATCTTGGGTCTCTCAGATAAATCAAAATTACTACGTATTGTGCAAGAGACTCATCAGCAGGCTGAGGAGGTTGCAGCAGTTTTCTTGGTTTCATACTTTTGAGCTTGCTCCAGAGGATGGAGGGGGTTGAGTAATTTTATTCCACAAGTGTAGACATGGCTGACTTATAGGAGACTCTAGCTTTCAAATACAATTTTCATTTCATAAGTTATATTGTACTTTCCACTGACTCTGTACTGTATGTAAAGTATTTTAATCTCCTGAGTCCCAGTAGGAAGAGCTTTAAGATCCTTCATCTTCATTTCTTTTCCTGTCTCTCTTTCTAAATGTCCCATCTTTGCTGGTGTGAAGCTGTCATTTCTCTCCCTCTCTCCAAATGTCATTGTCCATGCTGAGTTGTTACCTGCTGGTTATCAGCAGCTACCCAGACACTTTGCAGAAATGACTTTTAGATGTGAGAATAAAAGGGGAGAGGCAGGGGAGAGCACACGTCCTCTTCGTTGCCCAGAGCAGATGGAGAGCTTTGTCTTCCCCTGCTCTGGGGAAGTGATGTTCCCACGCAGTCCTTGTTCTGTGTGGCTCGTGCAGGGAGAGCTGCTTCAGTTTGTTTTCCTTTCTTCATGCAATCTGTGTGGCTAAACATTTGCTGTTTGTGCGACTCGAGTGCCAGACGCCTCCCAGGGAAAGCAAACCAGCACCACCCATCTTCCAGATGACAACTTCAACAAAATGGCTCAAGTGGGTGTTTTGGAGACGATGTAGAAAACCTGACAGCACTGAGCCCAGACTTTGTGCCTTGTTAAGAAGTTAAATAGTGCCCAACAGGGTTTACCAGCCAATTTCAAAGTGTTGGGGAGCAGTTAAAGAAGTTCAGGAGGGTGACCCATGCTTGGCCATCCTGTCTGAGGGCTCTGAGTGCATGGTGTGGGTGCAAGCTGATCTGTGCAGCCAGTGTTGGTGTCCAGGAAAGTTTGTGCAGATTGAGGTTATAGGTAGAGAAGTGATTATGAAGCCTCATTATAGTGCTGTGACTTGTGAGGGCATCCACCCTGATGGTGCCCTGAGGAGTCTTGTCCTGCTTCCTACTTACTTGGACTTGATGATCTTAAAGATTTCTTCCAACCTAAAAGATTCTATGATTCTACTCTATTTTTCCTCATTTGTTGTCTTGTGCTTGAACATACTTTATGACAGAGCTCATTACTTACTGAGGCATTGGCCCAGGCTGCCCAGGGACGTGGTTGGGTGCCCATCTCTAGAGTGGTTCAAAAAACCTGTAGATGTGGCATCTGGGGACATGGTTTAATGGTTGTGGTGCTGTTGGGTGATGGCTGGACTTGATGATCTCAGAGGTATTTTCCAGCCTTAATGATTCTATGATTGCTAACAACTGATTTTAACAAAAGACTTACCATAGAATTAGATTTCTTACAGGCTTTTTTTTTTTGACTGAGAAACTATTGGTTTTTTGTTTGTTGAAATTTGGTTAACATAGTGCCAGACAGACTCTCAGCATATCATGTTGTTCCTGGTTTCCATGCAACCAGTAAATCTCTCATAGCCAATCTTCAGAAAGGTATGTGGGACATATATGAAGGGATACCTGTAAATGTTAAAACTCAATCAACTGATGTTCTAAAGTTAGTGCCTTAAAAACCATATGAAACCCCTCCCGTTCAATAGCAGACTGGCTTTAGTTTGCTGTAGCTTATTTCTCTGAACCGAGGCTATTTTGTCTCTGAATGAGAACATTCCCATGGGCATTCAGTGTCCTTCAGCTTCTCTGCATTAGCTTCACCACTTCAGCTGATTTGTCTTAACTCAATTCTGTGTGTCCCTGTGAGGACAAGCCACCAAGGGTGTGAAGGCCAGGCTATTTATTGAAACTTTGATCCCAATATTTAGACCGTGCAAGTACTGTGGCAGTGAGTTTTCTTCCCATTGTTTTGGAGCAACTTCTCAAGCTGATAACTTCACCAATGCCCGCATTAAAATTAGCATGTCACATCTTCTTAAAGTGTTGATAATTCAAATTGTTATCTAGTTTATACAGAAGATTAAATATACCAAAGTACTGTTTAAATAATTTAGCTAAGGCTCTCTTCATGCAAGAAACAGTAAGAGATTCTTAAAAAAAAATCCTTTGTTTTGTTATTGGAGGTTGATTTTTCTGAAGCCTGTGTTCTCAGTCTTATTCCTACCATGCTGCTTGCAAGCAGGCTATTTGTGTTTTAAAAGTAAAATGTAAAATAGCATTTAATTTGTAGTCCAGGCACAAAAGGCAGTTTTATTTCTCTGAACAAAAATAAATAGCAAAGCTTGGAAGAACTCTTTCGTTTAAAAATGCTGCCATCCAGTGGTTATTTTGTGTGTAAAACTGCAACTTTTTGATGTCTGCATCTGTGCAAATTGTGGCTATGAAAAATACAAAGCTGTTCAGAAAGAAATGACGGAATGTTTCTGCAGCTTTTAAGGACAAATGCAAAAATCCTTAATGATCAGTGTATTGCATAGGAGGACCTCTCACCCATTTGGATTCCCAAAGAGAAAGTTTCTCTTAGTATAAAGAGATCTGAGACTTAAACTTGAGGGCTATGAGAAAGCTGGGGAGGGACTTCTTACAAGGGCTTGTAGTGATGGGAAGAAGGGTAATGGATTCAGACTGGAAGAGGGGAGGTTTAGGTTAGATGTAAAGAAGTTCTTCATGAGGGTGGTGAGACACCGGCACAGGTTGCCCAGGGAAGTTGTGGGTGCTCCATCACTGATTGTGTTCAAGGCCAGGCTGGATGGGGCCTTACACAGCCTGGTCTAGTGGGAGGTGTGCCTGCCCATGATAGGGGGGTTGGAACTAGATGATCTTTAAGGTCCCTTCCCACCCAAACCATTCTGTGATTCTATGAAGTATAGAGTGGAATGTAATTGTGAGTGACTGGCATCACTATGTACTTGCCTATTTTGTCTCTGCCTGGAGCTTGTGATGCCATACAACAGTTTGAAATAATGTGTTTGTTCTGAATTTCAACTGACTCCACTTTACTGCATGAGAAAAAAGTTAGGAATCTAAACCAAATCAAATAACCTGAAAGCCAAGCACACAAAACAGTTCATGATTTCTATATGTATCTATGGTATAGATAACTTGTTGCTAACTAACTCAAAGCAGTTGGGACTTGCTCTCTATGCAGACATGTTACTAAGTACATACAGCTCTAAATATGTTTCTTTCAAAATAATTTTGTAGTGGTTGTTATTTAAGTATGACATTAAATATCTCTTTCCTGCAGGGTTGCTTTGTTGGATTTGACCTGGCTCATGCTGTTGGGAATGTAGAACTTCATTTGCATGACTGGGGAGTAGATTTTGCCTGTTGGTGCTCCTACAAGGTAAAATAGATTCATTGTTTGAGATGATTTTCCATACTATCATTTATGATGGGCCAGCAAACAGGTCAGATGAATAAGAACTGCACCTGAACGGCTGATCAACACTTGACTGAACCTTTGAACGAGCCACAATGAGATGGACATGGACTTTAGTGTTTGCTTTGTTATGAGAGGTTCCCAAAAATGTTAGTGGCAATGACCTGCAAGGTCTTGTGGATGTGAGTTGGATGGTAGTGGTGGTTAAACATCTGCTTTGAAACACCTTCTGCTCTGGAGTCACAGGATCTGAGACTCTTCTCTTATGTCCCGACTGAGAAGTCTTATGGCTAAAGTGGTCCCAAAATAAAGAAGTATTTCTGTCTAAAATTAAATAATATTAGATCACAGAATGAGATATCTTTAGTTCCTTTGACTTCCCTTGCAATTAAGTGATGGATTTAACAGTCATCAAGCAATTCATATGACTATATTTATTTTGAGATTGGACTATTTCAACCATATTTCAGTTTTTTAGCCTATTGTCTGTTAGACTTAAGATATCATATGTAAGCCAGGAAAGATGTTTTTAGAACTAATCTGAAAAAATACATCTGCTTTTAATTATATCAGGACTTTGAGACAAATGCTAACATCTCCAGTTAGAAACAGCTAGAAAAGTTAAAATTCGTCTGTTTTATAGAGCAGAGTGAAGGAAGGAAAGCAACACTTGTCAGACAATGAGCATGACATGTACATGTTGATTTATTCTTTGCAGTATTTAAATTCTGGAGCAGGAGGCCTTGCTGGTGCCTACATTCATGAGAAGCATTCCCAGAGCATTAAACCAGCGTGAGTATATTTCTATACCCCCCAAAAAAGTGCTGTGGAGTTTAAATGGGGAAAATATCTTCCTTTTGATCTGACAACTGAAAGAGAGAAAATTTATAGTTTCCAAGTCATAGACTATGGACTTGTATGTGTCTCTCTCTATATGTATGTATAGATGCAGAAGAAATTCCCTGCTTCAAGAAAAACTCATTGGGCTAATATTCAGTGAAAAGGCTAACACAAGTTTAGATCATTATCTGACTTTGTTACTGCAGATGAGTTGGTTTATGTTTATTTCAGTAAATTTTGAAATTGTTAAGCTACATGCTTACATCTTAAACATTTTCTCCTTGGAGTCTGCTTTCAGATCTAAACTAATCATGAAAGAGAGAGCTTATAAAATTAAAAGCAAGTAACTTAAATCATGCCTATGAGACTGTTTAATATAAAGAGAATATTTAACATCTTCCTTTAAAAATGGATTTTTTTTTAATTCATTGAAGCCTTTTGTTGGTGGACAAAATCAAAGACTATTTCAAGTTTGTCTTAATAGCTCTTTAATACTGGCATGTTTTCATTAAAATTATGTTCACTGGTAAAGCTAGGAAGCATTACATGGAGATCTGTATTCTCAAAGGCTGTCTAATCCATGAAAAGCTATGCTATCAACTAAGGTGAGCTGCATTAAAAAAAACCCTGTTATTTAACATGATACATGACTGTACTTTATGTACTTTGTATATTAAGAACAGTAGGATTAATATGTCTAATGCACAGACAAATGTAAATATTTTTCTGGCTCTAATGCTCGAAGGAATTGGTGATACTTTTATTTTAGCTTGAAGAAGACAAACTAAATTAGGTTTCAGAGAGAAATAATATTATCACAAGCAGCTTCGCTGCACTGTGGGCTGGTTTCAGACTGTCTAGACTCCCAGGAGATAACAAAATAACACTGATAAGTTCTTCTCAGTCACCCATAAAAGAAAACTCATTAGGATGACATATGACCTGTGGTGGGCTGATTCAATCCTCACATGTGAACGCTGGCAAAATATTCTGAATATCTGGGTATTGCTTCTGGAAAATTGTTGGGGAATTTTTTTTCTGCTTTCTCTTTAGCCAGGTGTAGGCAGTGCTCCTATGGCCAAACCTCTGGGCCCTGGCTGTGGGGAGCTGGGAAGATGCTGAGCAGTGAAAAAGATGTTGGCCAGCTAGAAATCACAGAATAGCAATAGAAGGAATGAATAAAATCTCAAGGACTTTGAGTCTTTTTTCCTTCCTGATGAAATTTTGAGACTTCTGTGAGTGCACTAGGTTGGTATTGTAGGTAACAGCTTAAATTAGTTTTTCCTGAACCAGCTTCTTCATACATAGTCATTAACTTGTGTATTGAATCTGGATACTGAACGTCTCAAGTACAATTGCCTACATGAAACAGGCTTTTTCAGCCTGGAGCCCAATTAAGGATATAATTCCAAACTTCCTGCATAGACTTTTTGCATTATTTAATCACAGTTATTTCATATCTCCTGAGATTTGATAATCACTTATCAAATTGTTTGTAGTTAATATGCCCTGGTAGCTTTACTTTTCTTTCTTTTTCACATCAACCAGCCATTTCAGGTCTCCAAATAAGGCAGTGAGACAAAGGAGAATTTGTCTATGTCAAAGTATTCAATTTTATAGCTGATTTAAATGCAGAGCAATTTGCTGTATGTTGTACAATCAAACAGAGTGGAATTTAACTGCTCTGGAAGTTGCAGGGTTTATGTTGTATCTAAGAAGTCTTTGGCTGTCATCTGAATCAAGGATGACACCCAGTGGCCAGACAACTTCATTCAAAAACAGAAGCACCACGTTTTGTTTCTTTGCATCTCAGCCCCCACGTAAATGAGTAATTAAATTCGAATCCAGCTGAAATCCTTTTGTCATCCAAACTGTCTGAACAGTTTAAATTGTTTTTAACTCATGGCCAATATTATGCAAGTCGTTTTTTACCGCGTATATGGATTAATTTGTCTCATCCTTCATGTTTTCTACAAGCTATTGACTAGGTAGTTTATTTTTATATAGAAATAATGTATTGTATTTTAATGTAAAAATGTATGTTCTGACCATAACTCAAAGAAACAGCCACAGAATATTTGCCAACTACATTTACTGACTGAGGCTGGGGAAAAAAACAAGGGCTTAGGTATTTAGTGAAAAAGAAACAGCTTATTCTACATTTTAAATTTTTAAACCCCAAAGCCCAGCTATTGCCCATCAACAAAGGCATTTAGTATTTTGTTTTAACTTAATTTCATGAGTCTGCTTTTTCCATGCCCAGAGTCTTGCTAATAAGAGCAATGTAAGCAAATAGACATTTGCATTGTAGCTATGCCCAATTTCAGAAACTGGTTTCCCCTCCAGCTGCTACCCAGGGGAGCTGCTCCATCCACAGCCTGCTCCCTGGACACTTGCTTGCTGCTGCTTTCTTTTAAAATGCAGTTTGAGAGAGAGATATTAATTAATTTAACAGCCTTAACAGCAGCAGCTAGGGCCATGCTGGAACTGCTTTCTGCTTTGAGTCTGCAGATTTGAGGTAGTGGCAGCTGAACTGCAAACCTATGCAACCCCAAACCACTGTTACTCAGTAATACCACGGCACATCTCAGCAGACAAAGGGCAACACCAGTCCCACTCCTCTTCTTTGTGGGTGTGCAAGCTCCCCACAAGATTTTTTTAAAGTTAGCAGCTCACTAACTTGTCAAAAGATTGCCTAAGCACAAGGTTTGATCCTTAGATCTGACGGGTGGCAGATGGAGGTTGTGGACAACACTCTCCTATGGCCCCTTCTTGTTTGGTGGCACTCTCTGGCTTAGTTAGTTTAGATATTAGATATTAGTTCTCAAATTCACTGCAAAGGCCATGGCTCTAAAAGTTACATGTTGTAACCATCCTAAAGAATATCTGTCCCTGACCATGCTGGATAGTCTTTTGCTCATCTCCTTTCTTCCTGTAGCAGTAAAACTGAATCAACCTGACATATATGGGTCCAATATATCCCTACTCTCTCATGATCTCACCTCCTTTGAAGTCTCTTTTAATACTCAAATAGCTTTTTTAATACCTGCTCTATATATCACAATGCAATATATTCTTGGCTAATTGTGCTGCAGTGACTTCTCTGGGGGAAAGTTTCAAATAAAAAAAAAGGCCTGGAGAGAGCAGAGCAATGAAATGCTACTGAAACTCTTTGGTCAGTTCAGGCTGATCCTGTGCCACCAAGTTGCCACATCAATGTAGTTATGTTGCAGAAAGGAGGTTTACAAGACTCAGAAAGTAGTGAGGTAAGCTACTAACACTGAAATTTTGCTTAGACTGGCTTTTTGGTCTCTAGAAAAGTTTTTTTCACTATTTTTTTTAATTACCCTGTTGGGTTTTTTTAATAAATTTTCAAGTTTACAAAAAGGACAACTAAAATCTACCGAGCAAATTAACTATGATGAGATGTGAATGTTTGAGCACCTGAGATAGAAGGTATGTGAGGAACGAGGTGTTCACAGCAGTGTATCTGCTGCTGTAAATGTGCAGTGAGTTCAGCTCTGCTGTCAGCTGGTGCAAGGGACAGGAGGGGACAAACTTGTGAAGTCCTGAGACAAGCAAAGAAAAAAAAAAAGTCCTAGCCAAATCAGTGTAAGGAAAAAGTCAAAATTTATAAAGATGAAAGGGAAATAAATGTATGTAAAGCAGCCAGGAGAATAATAGATAAGCCTTGGCGGAGGATTAAATGAAAATTATACAAAGTCTAGGGTTTAAAATGAAAGGATTTAACAAGGCTTTAGCATGGAGTAGGAGCAGGTAGAGCATAAAAATAAAAAAAAAATAGTGTGATGTGAAGAAATGCTGTATGTGCAGGAAGCAGCTGATGGCCAAAGAACGTGTCAGCTTTTAGTATAGGATAAAAAGAAAAGTATCAAAGAACAAGAAACAAAGAGGCACCTATTTCATATTAACTTTAAGAAAAGTTATCTTCAGATATCTTCAGACAATTTCCTCATAGACAGAGGGATGATGCCAACCCTTTCTCTTAGATCACTTCCCTTTTTGGTGTCTTGATTACAGTGAAAATGACAGAGCACAAATAGCTTCTTGCTACTTCATTATGGAGACGTACACAACTTTTTGCATGTGGACTTTTTCCCTGGCATGAGATAAACAGAGACTATTTCAGCTCCACACACCTCCCCGTTCCCATTTTCCCCACGTGTTCTGTGCCCCCACTCTGCCCCAGTGCAGACCCTTTCTGCCCAGTAACTTTGTTTTGCAAGAGGCTACTCAACCCCTTCCAGGGTTGGTAGCTCCAGCTGAGTTTTTCTTTAGTCATTTTCTTGATCTGTGAGGAGATATCACATTGTTCCTTTTGAAATTAGAGCCACATCATCCCCAAACTAAATAGCTGAAGCTTCTGTGAAACTGCTGACAATAATGCTTCTAGAAGCAGAGTAAAGTGATTCAATCCTCATCTACCCTTGGAGTCTATCATGGCACTCCTGAAAGTTTTAGCAGAACAGAGCACCCTGGCCTGGCTGAAGAAGGCATCTGGAGAAGCAATATAGAGATTTCCAGGGAGCTGCACTGAATGCAGCAGGATGGGAAGTGGGTGCTCACAGATGGAGGTCTGTCACTGGTCCAGGTGGACTCAAATTGTGGACTAATGTATGGATAAACTAGTCATGGAGTGCAACGTGTCCCCCCAAGTGCAGGAAGTATCCAGTGCTGAGGTAGAAATGGACTGTTTCTTGTCTAAGGAGGCGAGAGCAATTCAGCTCCTTGAGCTAATTTAGAAACCAAAAGTTAAAACCTCCCTTGAGAAGAGACTGTTTAGGAATAAAGGCATCAGCTAATTAGGGTTAATTGCATTGTCTTGGGACAAGTGATTTATTAGGCCAATCTAGACCCATGATGGGCCTGCAGGGCCGCGTTCTCCAGTTCACCAACTGAATGGCAAATATCCAAGAGCATTTTTTAACTTT